TATTAACTTGTAGATGGAATAAATGTGGTCTGGAATAAGTGAGACACAATCGCTGTGAAACCTCATGATGCCCTTTGAAAGCCATTTTCCTCTTCTGTAAGTTGAGGGGGGGGACTTGGGGACTCTAGAACCTAGTAGGGTGCTCCGGGCTGGGATCGGGGAGTTTGGAGGGCGGGAGGGGGATCAGGGCTGGGGCAGGGGGTTGGGGTGTGGGGGAGAGGCTCAGAGGTGCAGGCTTTGGGCAGTGCTTACCTCAAGCAGCTCCCAGAAGCAGTGGCATGTCCCTTCTCTGGCTCCTACGCAGAGGCGCAGCCAGGTGGCTCTGTATGCTGCTCCATCCCCAGGCACCGCCCCCACAGCTCCCATTGGCCGTGATTCCTGGCCAATGGGAGCTGCGGGGGCGGCGCTTGGTGTGGGGGCAGCATGCAGAGTGGAGCCCCCTGGCTGCCCTCCACATAGGAGCCGGAGGGGGGACATGCCGCTGCTTCTGGGAGCCTCATGGAGTGGTCCCCGACCCTGCTTCTTGGCTGGAGTGCCGGAACGGGGCAAGCCCCAGACCCCGCTCCCCAGTGGGAGCTCGAGGGCCGGATTAAAACGGCCGATGGGCCAGATCCGGCCCATGGGCTGTAGTTTGCCCACACCTGGACTACTTGCTACTTCACCTGTTATCAGACACTGAGGCTTTGTCTACATTGGCACTTCGTTGGCAAAACTTTTGTCGTTCAGGAGTGTTAAAAACACGCACCCCCTGAACGACAGAAGTTTTACAGATGAAAAGCGCCGGTGGGAGCAGCGCTTTGTCGGCAGGAGAGCTCTCTCCCGCTGACAAACAGCGGCTACACTGTGCGCCTTTCAGCAGCATGGCTGTAGCGGCACAGCTGTGTCGCTAAAAGCCTTGTAGTGTAGCCATAGCCTGAATATCTTGAGCATATGTCTGGAAAGCCTCCGCTCGCCACAGACTTCCTGTAGACATTGAATGGCTTGTCTTGCGGCATCCTGTGTTATGAGCTGTGTGTGTATAGTGGTGGTAGTATATGGGGTGGTTAAGTGTAGCAGTGAAAGAACCGGATGTACTCTTGGCTGCATGGCAGCCTGAAAATGAATATGGGGTGGAGGTAAGTATTAAAGTAAACAATGAAAGCATCTGGTTTTACTTTGAAATTTGTAAAATAGATAGTTTTAATTTAAAATAAAAGACCAATCAGCTATGGAGATTACAAACCTGTTTGTAGCAACTCCATAAGCGTAAGAGGTGCTGTTGTCCCTGAATCATAAAGGGACTGAGGCCTTTACCGCTACTTTCCATCTTCTATGTTTATAAAATCGTATATGTTTGGTATACATTAGGCTTTGGCTGTTTCAGCACAACCTTTCCTTGAAATTGATTGCAGCTCAGTTGAGAGACTCTTCCCCCTCCCTCGGTTGGCTGGCTATATCTCTGCCTTGTTACGCTTTAACACTGACGTTGGCTTCTGTCTCCCAATAAAGTGGAAGTGTTTAAGTAGGGGAGGGGGCTGGAAGTGTGAGACAGAGGGATACATGGATAATGAGGGTCTAGTCTCAGCCTCAAAGTTCTCTAATACTTATCACCATGGAAACATTTTAGTTTCCAGATTTTCTCCTTGAAGAAACCTCACTGTTTGCCCATTCAAATGATGAAGTCTGGCATCCGGATGCCAGTGTGTCTGATGCAGAGCTCCTCAAACTCTGCTGTGTTACCCCTAAAGGAGTTGCCAGCAGCTGCTTAGGTTACTGTGAACTTATGCCCTTCCCTGTATCCGAGCATCTGCTGTGTCAGATTTGCTCAAGTCTCTTGTAGGTTCTGTCTCAATCCCATTCCTGTCACACTCCACCATCCTGAAGCTGGCAGTGTCCCATAAACCATTGTGCCAGTTTCCAGGCACGCTGACTTTTAATGAAGGAGACATCTAGCCAATGGTCCAGATTCCTGCTGAGCCTTTGGGCACTCTGCAGGATGGGCATATGACCTATCTCAACATAGCAGCTGCTGGAATAACTCCGAGGCAATTGTTGGTGCTGCTCACAGGTTTCATCCTGCCCCAAAGCCCATTCCTTGAGTGTCCACCTTATTGTAGTACATTGCAAGGTAGATGGCAGAAATGATCTGGCTAGGTGCTGAAATGTGTGGTATCATGCACAGGAATGAAATGTCAGAGATCCATACAAATGGACAGATATGCACCACAAGGTTGTGATGACTCATTTTAAAGGGACATCATGTGTTGATGATTTCATTGTGTACTGGACTGAGAACCGCTTAATAGATACTTGGGACTCTACCCCTTGCCTGGTGCGAAGTCTCTACTTGAATGTTAACTTTCCCAACACACACTTATAACTTGCATAGTTCCTGGACATAGCCACAGTCCACTCCAGGTAGACACTGCAGGGCAGTTTAGGCATCAGTCCTTTTCTATGTGGATGTCCAGAATGAAGGTTTACTGGGCTGACATCTGTGTCTGCTTCAGAAGTAACCTTACGCACCTGATACAGTCAAAGGAAGAATCTTTGTTTCTTTTGGGCTCCTAAGTAATAAATCTACCAATGGTATGGTTTACTGTAATTCCTCCATAGCGGGTTGTGTGGGAAGTGAATCTAACCTTGTACTCTTTGTCTCAGCACAGGGATGCTGCAGAGTTGACCAAAGGCTTGAAAATGTGGCTTAAGTATTGGTGCAGAGAGCATAAAATACAGAAGCTTTTAGTTGGCAACTCAAAGCTGAGTCTACACGGCTGGGAAACAAGATATACAAGATGATGTTTCTCTTAGCCAGGCAACTTAAACTCTGAAACAAGTGTTTAGGCACTCTGGGTACATTGTTGTCAGCCAACGTTAATTAATGCAGGTCCATCAAAACCTGTTGGCACAAGCCTGCCAAATGGCAGGTTTTAACCAAGTAGACCCCGGAGGTGGCTTTCTTTTGAATCTCTCTTTCCTTATTTTCCTCTTAGCTGGGCCCTTACTCAGGATGTGATTGACTTTTCCAGTACAGGAGCTGGTCTAGTTACATTTTGGACTGTTTGATAAACTTTTCTGTTTCAGTTTAATGACACTCTTAAAATGAATTTTATTCTTTGTGAACTGTGCCAAATTTAAAGCCTTTGAGAATGAAGCCTTGTATCCACAGAACAGGCATAGCATGGCAGTAATACAAACTTCCCTTGCAGAATTACCCCCACACATATACACCATTGCATCTCAAACCTGACATGGAGAGGCCCCGTCAAATGTGATGGGGCAAGTTCATTCTTAATATTCTGCGCCTCTGCTGAGGCTGCCCAAAAGAGAGTGAGTCAGTGCCAACATTTATGGATTTTTGATGCAAATGTTTTTCCCCTAGGAGCATGACAGTTAATGACTTAAGTAAGTGTCCTATTGATGACTGACATAAACCAGCAGAAAGCTACCTGTATGTGGCACATCTTCTGAAATAATATGCATTACGACCTGCACCCATTCCCTCCCACCCATCTACTGAGGGCAGAGTTCAGTACAGCAATGGAGAGGTTAAAATAAACAAAACCAGCACATCCTGTCTAAACTGCAAATACAGGTAGGAAGAAAAATATTGTTGAAACCAGGCTACTGTCATGATCAGTTGTCGATTGTTAGTGAATGCTTGACGTGTTGGCTTGATGGACTGAAGACTTTTTTCTGGTTGTGGTGCATCTGCAGAAAGGAGGAAATTGGCTTTACCCAGGTGAGCTGTAGACGTTCAGTTCCACCCCTCTCTGCTGTTGCAGAGGATCAGGACAGACCGGTTGCATAGCTAATCACACTTCATCCCTCCACAACTTCAGGTGGCTGCTCTCTGCCATTAAAACAACAGCAGCTTCCATAAACCAATTGCTCTGTGCTGTCTGCTGTCTCTGGCACTGAACTACGACCAACAAGAACATCCCTCCTGCTTCGCCAAGCCCCCTCCAATAAATAATTGTGATAAAAAAGGCGAGCCCTTCCAAAGTAACCACTTACAGAATGTTCTGCCGAGCAAGTGTAACCCCAAGAAGCAGAGGAGATGTAGCAGTCCTTGACAACGAATAAGCACTCTGGCTGCCTTGTAAACATCTCAGTCTGAAACCAGGCTGTTTATGGGCATTAGAGATGTTTATCATCTTGTACTTGCTTTGCTGCTGCCGGGTTATTGCTTAAGTCAAAAATAATAATAAAAAGTGAGAGACAGGAGATACTGAAATCCTTGTAATCTGTGCATTTTCACTGTGGATTCCCTAAACAATGACCTTGCAAGCAGAAGATGAGGGAGCAAAACAAGACAGCTTGGATTTGGCAGAGAGGTTCAGACTATATACTGTAGGAATATTGGTCTGCCTATGAAAGAGGGCATGGCTGAAAATCTGGTCACTGACTGATCAAATTTTCATTGTCTGAGCTGTCAACTGTAAGGTATCCAGTGCAACTACATGAGTGAAGATGACTTGCTAGCTAGGTCACCTTGAGTATATAAAACTGCTCTTGTGCAGGAGATACTGTACCTGCTCCTCTTGGGGAGCTTGGAAGCTGCGGGGCTTTTGGCCTTGTCCCTCACAGTGCACCTGACAATACCACACCCCTTGCTGTGTGGTGCTACTGATATCAGTATCTCTGATGTTGTGCAGTGCCTTGTATGACTCTGTCTGCATCACATCTGTCTTTGCCTATCATCTGCTCAATAGGGAGCACTGTGCAGCATTCATTGCGGAGGGAGAGAGTGTGCGCGTGGTGGGTGAGTGGGGGTTGGGTTGTTTTATTTTTCTTTAACTACCAAGCCTAAGCCCATTTAACAGCTTCTATTTACAGCACAGTCGCTAACAGGGGACATAGGTACACTGTTAAAAGGCTTGAAGAACTTTTCTGAACTCATCGTATTAAGAGCTGTATTGTGCAGCAGTAGGCAGCCTCCATAAATTACTGATATCTTTTTCCCCCCTCTTTCCTACCCCTTCTCTCTTTCTCTCTCCTTTTTTTTTTTTCACCCCAAGCCTGCAGATTTGGATGCCTGGGTAAGCTCTCTCTTTGTCTGCATCTTGCTTATTTCAAGTTGTCATATTGTTACCGCATGCATACAGATTGTTATTGCCGAGCACAGATGCAGGATTTTATTTTGTCATTACATTTTAAAAGGTGTTCAGCTAGAAAATTGCATATTATTTCCTCCATAAAGATTTTCACTGGTTCCTTTTGTGTAGCTTACAGCTGCTGAGACCAAACTTGATAGGGTGATGAGTAGGTGTATGTGGGGCTAAGTGGGTAGCAGAGGCAGGGAGGAAATGAAGGTTTCTCCAGTGTTGCTCATTAGGGCCTAAGTCTGAACCCACTAGTTGGTGGTTAAAAACTTCCTTTGATTTCAGTGGAAGTGATGATAGGGCTGGAGTCTAGAGAACCTGTAATTGGAGCCCTGCAAATCCACGGATATCCGCTTTATATCCGCAGACCACTTTTGAGGATTGGATGCTGATATAAATTTTGTATCTGCACAGGGCTCTACCTGTAATATACTTCGGGGACAAAGAACTCCAGGGTGATTTTGCAGGGCTGAGCTGCCTAACCTAGACATTGAGAACTGTACCAACCACTGTTGATTGGCTAGATTTCTGCCTATGTAACTTAATCCTGATTTAAATAACCCTTTGTTATTTCAATCTTGAATGCCCCTCCATACACAGATCTCAGTCTTGATTTACAGCATCCCTTACTATTTCAGTCTTGCCTTCCACCTTTCAGCTCAGCTATTGCCCATTAGTCTTGACCAGCAGCACTCCAGCTATTCCAGTTCTAGAACACACTACTTTGCTGGTGCACTTCAATCTTGACCAGTAGCACACCGTTTATTCCAGTCCTGGGGTCCTGAACAGGGTTCTCTTCAATATCGTGTCTGCTCCAGTGACTGAAGAAGACACATGGGCAGGCACAAGCAACAAGTGTTTGCAATTTTTAGACTGAGGTGACCCAGATGAGACCTCTTATCTATGCTACTGGATTCATTTGGGGAAGCGGATTCCCCCCCCTCTCCCCATTAAAATAATTTAAAATAGAAAAAAGGCATTTGTAAGAGAGGTTAGATTTTTTTTTTCTAGTGGGGTGGGGTGTAAGGAGGTGCTGTGTCCCATGCCTCTGACCCTGTAAAACACTGTTGGAGTTTGTTACTTCTGAGGGCATTCTGTGCCACAAAAGTAAAAATTCTATGCACAATATTTTAAAATTCTGCAAAACTCTGCAAATTTTATTTGTCAAATAAATGTGGAGGTATTGGGATTGGGGAGCACTGGCTGCACAGAGGTGGGAGATCACCCCCTTGCCCATCCGGGACACGGACTCAGCGGTGAGGCTGCACCCAACCCTGACACAGTGCAAGGACCAGGCCTGCCCCAGAAACACCCTAAGGTCCTGCTCCTCTGTGCCAGGTGCAGGCAGGCAGGCTCAGTAAGGCAGGATCCAAGTATGGGGGGTTGCAGGTGTGGGTTGAGAGGGTTCTGTGTGGGGCAGTCTGGGTGTGGGTGGCTCAGTTGGACATCTGGGTGCGGGAGGGATCTGGATGCACAGGGGTTTGTTGGGGGGTTCTTGGTGCAATGGTAATGGGAGTCTGCAGGGGATCCAGGTGAAGATGGTTGGGGCTCAGCAGGGGGCGAGGGAGTCTGGGCGATGGTTGGGGCTCAGCAGAGGGCGAGGGGTCCAGATGCTGAGGAGTGGGGCTCAGTGGGGGTGGGGCTCAGTAGGGTGGGGATTTTGGTTCCAGGGGGAAGGATGAGGCTCAGCGTGAGGGTCTGGGTTGTTTGAGGGCGTCTGGGTGGATGGGGGAGCAGCTCCCTGTACAGTGATTTCTCCCCCTGTAACTGAGGAGTGATGTGTGCAGAAAGCACATGGGTGTGGGGAAGTTTGCAGAGTCTTCTGCAGCTGGAGGAGAAATTTGGGAGTGGGTCTGACACTGCCCCAGATGCCGTGCAGGGGAAGAGGAAGTCCCGTCCTCCCCAGCCCAGCTGGGGCTAGCAGCTGAGCCTGGCTCAGGGTAGGAGCCACCAGCCGGGTCTTCCCCAGTCCTGCCCCACAGTGATTTACCTCTCTGCCGGCTGCCCTGGGCACCTGAAACATACTGCTGGGGAGGGTTGCATGACTGCTCTTGTGGCTTCCCCTTTGCTTCCCTGTCAGAAAGTCATTTTTCTGCAGGGAAGCAAAGAAATCTGCAGGGGACATCATTCTGTGCATGTGCAGTGATGCAGAATTCCCCCAGGAGTAAAAGTTCGTAGACCATATGTGCCCAGTTGAGTGTTGTTCATGGATAAATGAATTTCAGAAGTATCAGTTACCAGATTCTGTGAATTGCCTCTGGGAAGAACTCCCATGGGCCTTGCTACGGACCTTTTCTCCTATGTCAAACCTCCCTTCGCATAGAGACAACCAGTTTTCCTAAAATAGATTTTTGTCTTTTCCACATTTTGGGGTCCTGGATAGTCTTGTTTAAGTGAGGCAGCCTGGTGACAATTGTGAGCTCTGCACTATTGCTGTGCCTCATTCTTGAATCCTGTTTAACCTATCTTAATCTGGCCCTGCCAACAAACTTCCTTTTACTTGTAAATTTTCTCTCTGGTTTGCATGTACATGTCTCACAGATGTGTACTGGAAGCCTGACCTTTGCACAAGTGAAAAGAAGTAAATAAAATGTAAAACTGAGAACTGTATTTTGATTAAAGGGCATAAAATATACATTAACACAGTTGGGATGATACCTGCCATGAGCCCTGCATGGGAAGACTGATTCCAAAGACTTCAAAACTCCGGTACTATGTTGTCATATGATGCAGGCATAGCACTGGAGTTCTCTATTTGGGTACCGAGCTTGTTTCTTGCTCTTTGTGCCTGTGGGAGCAGTGCACTCAACTCCTCAATGATTAATAACCAACCAGTTTAGTAACCAACACAGGTGCCTTCGTAATTATTCATAACATCTTACATGGTGAAGTGAGAGGCGCATGGAAGGAGGGCAATGTGTTGCTTTGCAACAGCTCCTTATGGCTGACCCAAGAGCAGTGGTTTTTGGGGAGATAAGTCCAGACTTCCTTGGCTGAAAAGAAGATTGTTTCTACCCAGAGCCTCTTGGTGTATAGGGTGGGAGGAAGATGTAAAGAGAGAAATTAGGAGGAACCTCAGAAGGACCTTCCACACTCTCTCCCTCTCACAGAATAAACTTCACCAACATCTGTTTGATGTATGGTTAAAAGAGTTGAGTCTTGGAATTTGAAGACGCTAACCCTGGTGCAACAGCTGCTCTGTTGAACAGAGATGAGGTAGTGCACGGGCACTGGACCTTCACTATTCCACCTCAAGAGTACAGAGCACTGAGGGCTTATCTACACAGTTAGTTAGTTAGTGCACAACAAGCTAATGTGCAGTCACAGCCTGGCTTGCCACGCACTAACTAGTGCATGAAAAGTTCTGTAGTGTGCTTTGTCCTGTTTCCATTTTGAAATGGGAGTATGACAAAGCGCACTGCAGCAAGCTAGTGCTCTGTAGATTCACACCTTAGCTTACCATGCAGTAATGCTGCATGTAGACAAGCCCTCAGTTCCCAACACAATTACAGACAATTCTCAGGCATCTTATGCCCTCCTCCTTGCATAGGAGGGAAGAGACCATTTGCACTGTGCTGTCCTCTCTGTTGTCCATTCTGCCCTGCCTCCTCAATCTCCTTGCCTAGTGTGCCCCTTTAGTGAGACGTTCCATCTCCCTTAAATGGTTTCCACTTCCCTTTAGATATACTTATACATCACTCATTTGAGAAGGGGAGTGTGAATTTGGTTGTTGAGAAGTTAGTATTCTACTCTCAAATGCTCCTCTGGAACGCAGTCACTCCTCACACAACATGCCCAAGCCCAACTCAACCTCTTATACATGGACACAAAATGGATCAGCAGCATCCTATTTAGAAACCAGTGTGGTGTTACATATTTCTTCCTCCATCCTTTGTTAGTGAAAAACTTTTTACATTAAAAATGTTTCTGATGCTTTGTTTGCCACCTGCAGTTTCAATCCTCTGTGAAATTTATAATCTTCTCCACAGCAGCCAGCTCTGTTTGGGACATCACAGGCTTCTGACTTCAGGTGAGGAATAAGCAGCAGGACAAGAGGAGCTTTTAATAAATATCCTGCATTCAGGCAAAATGTCCCTAGTTGCCTAACCCAGTTTTGTAATGTTTGGTATAGTGAATATTTCAAATGACACATGTTCTGACTGTACCGTACATACTTCAAACATTATGATAAAGTGTACTGAAGTTCCTAGTCATAACAGCTGGGGGTAGAGGAAAACAGAAAGCAACTTTCAAGCACATCTGTGTCTAAATAGACTTTCTCAAGGCACTTCAGTGGAGTTATTTAAAATGAGCAAATCATTGAAAACATGTCTGAATTACAAGTAAAACTTTTTCAGTAGAACCTCTGGTCTGTAGTTCAACTGGATAATGGTGATAGTGGAGAGAATGATCAGAGAAGTTCATTGGAAATGAGGTATTGGGAGGAAGAATGGTCTGGTCACTGGGGACTAGCATGGGATTCAGGAGACCTGGCTTCAATTCCCTGCTTGGCACAGACTTCCTGTGTGACCATTGGCCGGTCACTTAGTCTCTTTGTGCCTCAGTGCCCCATCTGTGTCAGTATAAGAGGTGCAACTGGCTTCCTTCCCCTCCCCCCCCCCCCAGTTATTTCTTACCGCCAGTGATGGTGCTGGGATGTCTCCTTGCTTGGGCAAGTTTTCTTATCTCTGTGTCTAGTAGTAAATTAGTTGTTTAAAGTTTGTATAGTTAATAGTTTAGTTTGTTAGTCCCGTATGGGACTCAGCCTAGGGATGGGGCATGCCCTGGTCCCCGGGCTTCAAACCTTGTGACTGTTGTAAAAATCCTATGCCAGTCGGTGATCCCCATAGAAGCTGTTCGAAGTGTTTAGGGCAGGGGTTGGCAAATTACGGACCGCGAGCTGGATCCGGCCAGCGGGACTGCCACCCCCATGGCGCCACAGGGTGAAGGTGGGCTCCCTGCCTGCCCTGGCCCCGTGCCGCTCCTGGAAGTGGCCAGCACCATTGCCCCCCCCTCCTCCAGGGGCCACAGGGACAAGGGCTCCACGCGCTGCTCTCGGCTGCAGGCACTGCAGCTCCCATTGGCCGGGAATGGGGAACCACATCCAATGGGAGCTTCAGGGGAGGTACCCGCAGGTGAGGGCAGCGCGTGGAGCCCTCTACCCCCTCCCTTCCCCCAGGGGCTGCAGGGACATGGTGCTAGAGCGGCACAGGGCCAGGGTAGGCAGGGAGCCTGCCTTAGCCCCGCTGTGTGCCGCTGCTACCCCGGAGCTGCTCCAGGTAAGCAGCACTGGGCCGGAACCTACACCCTGAACCCCTCCTGCACCTCAACCCCCTGTCTTGAGCCCTCTCCCACATTCCACACCCTTCCTGCACCCCAGCCTCCTGCCCTGAGCCCCCTCTTGCACCCCAACCCCTTCCCCTGAATCTCTTCCTGCACTGCACACCCCTACCCCAGCAATACATTCATGGCCCTGAATACAATTTCCCCACCCAGATGTGGCCCTCGGGCCAAAAAGTTTGCCCAACCCTGGTTTAGGGTAAACCCATGTGAGCGACAAGTATCACATTTGCAAGAGCTTCAGGCCATGGATGAAAAAGGAGCGGGACATTCGTCTCCAGGCGCTCCTTGTGGAGTCGGCCCTTGCACTGGCCTCAGAGCCGACGAGACTGGGCTCTCTTCCAAGCACTGAAGCCTCGGTGCAGAGTGCGTGGCTGGCACCGACCTCCAACTGGTGCCGATCCCCATCCCCTTACCAGCTAAAAAGCAAAGAAAGACCAGGAGGGGGTGTTCTCCTATGTCCCGTAAAGGGAAGGAGGGAGCTGGAGGAGAACAAAGACCCACGCGGGGCAGCTCTTCCCCTCCAGGCAGTGGTCAGGTTCCGACTCCTGCTGTGCTGTCCAGCCCACTTCAAGACCCGCCCGCCACCCAGTGAAGCGGAAGAGGCACTCGGCATGTGGAGGTGCTGTCTATGCTGGAGGCCATTCAGGCCACTAAGGACATTCTGTCCCTTCTGGTGCCGCCCACGCTGGCCACTGAGGTGCCCTGTTTGAGGGGTAAACCTGCCTTGGGACCCTTCCAGCGGTCTCCATCAGTGCGGCATTACTGCTCTTGCTCTGTGCCAGGAGGCCCCTCTGTCTGTGGGACTTCTGCATTCAGCATGCAATCCACCTGGATGCCTTGCACCTCCACAGCGTCCGGAACACGCTGGTGGATCGTCTCATCAGGTCCTTCTTCTCTCACCACAAGTGGTCCCTTCACTTGGAGGTCATCAGAATGCTCTTCCAGAAGTGGGGAGCTCCCCGAGTGGACCTGCTCGCCACCAGATAGAACAGGAAGTGTCATCAGTTTTGGTCTCTCCAAGGCCTTGGCAGAGTCTCACTATCCGATGCTTTTCTCCTGTCTTGGTCAGGAGACCTGATGTACACATTCCCACCAATTCCGCTCATAAGCAAAGTCCTCTTGAAGATCAAGAGGGACAAGGCATCAGGTCATTATGATCGCCCCAGCATTGGTTTGGCATGCTCATGGACTTGGCCATAGCAACCTTGTGGCCACTTCCCAACTGCCTGGATCTACTCTCGCAGGATCACGGTCGACTCCTGCACCCGAACCTTACAGCTTGGATGCTGTGTGGCTGAATTCAGAGGAGAAAGCCTGCTTTAGTCAGCTACAGCAGGTTCTCTTGGAGAGCAGAAAGCCTTCCACCAGAGCAACTTGTCTGGCAAAGTGGAAGCGTTTCTCCTGCTGGGTGTCGGAGCGAAATATCTCCCGGACCCAGTAGTCTCTGCAGTCCATCCTGGATTACCTGCTTCACTTAAAGCACCAAGGTCTTGTCTTCTCTTTGATCAAGGTGCACCAGGCAGCCATATCGGCCTTCCATTCTCACATCCAGGGTAGACTGGTATTCTCATGCGAGATGCTGATCAGTGTTCCTGAAAGGCCTTGAAAGACTCTTTCTGCCGATCTGGGACCTGGTTCCACAATGGGACCTCAACCTGGTACTCTCCAGGCTCACGGGTCCATTCTTTGAGCGTATGGCTTCTTGTTCCCTAGGGTTGCATTCCTTGTAGCTATTACCTCGGCGAGATGTTGCCAAGATTAAAGCCCTGTCTTTGGAGCCCCATAAACGGTATTCTACAAGGACAAGGCCCTTTCCTGCCAAAGGTAGTGTCACACTTCCATGTCCACTGGGATATCTTCCTCCCAGTGTTCCGTCCAAAGCCTCACATGACCAATGAGGAGAGGCGGCTGCGCACTCTAGCTGTCAGGTGTGCCCTGGATTTCTGCCTGGAGCGCACCAAGCTCTTTTGCAGATCAATCCAGCTCTTTATCACAATAGCAGACAGGATGAAGGGCCTTCGGGTGTCCTCTCAGAGAAAGTTGAGTTGGTTCACCACCTGCATCCGTAGTTGTTACGAGTTGGTGCAGGCTGTGAAGTAAGTGAAGGCTTACTCAGCTAGGGCTCAGGCATTTTCAGCTGCCTTCCTGGCACATGTCTCTATCCAGGACATCTGGAGGACCACAACATGTTCTTCAGGATCCACATTCACAATGCATTACACCATCACACAGCAAACCAGAGATGACGCTGAATTTGGCAGAGCTGTGTTGCAATCGACATGTCCATGAACTCCTACCTGCCTGCGATGGTACTGCTTGGGAGTCACCTACAATGGAATGGGCATGAGCAAGCACTCGAAAAAGAAGAAATAGACGGTTATCTTTCGTAACTGTTGTTCTTGGAGGTGTGTTGCTCATGTCTATTCCATGACCCACCCTCCTTCCCCTCTGTTGGAGTTCCAGCAAGAAGGAACTGAGGGAAGGGGGGAGCCAGCGGGGCCCCTTATACTAGTGCATTCTCATGCCATTCCAGAGGGGGCCAGAGCCAGTCCTCTATGGATACCACTAAGGGAAAAGCTTCCAGCACCAGTGCATGTGGTGAGCACGCACAACTACAATGGAATGGACATAAGCAGCACATCTCAAAGAACAACAATTACAAAAGTTACTAGTCTTTTCCAGGCCGTCTGCAGACTCAGGGATTTGATTACGCTTGAGTCACATTTAAGCTTTTCTTTGCAACCATGAGGAATAGAAACTTTTTTTTAATATGGAAGCTGAAATTCTTCTTTAACCACATGAATCCTGGAGCTGGGGCTTTAGGCACAGGCCTATAGTGTGTATGCCTTACTCTGGTCCTAAATGGCAGGGAAAGCAAGCATGGGAACCAGAAAGGTTCAAATCTAGTTACCACTTCAGAGAAGTTGACCATTACCATCCCTGTAAAGATGATGCATGTAACAAAAAAGCCGCCTCCTTGCTGCTTTACCAGCATCTTTTTCTGTCCCCCATCCCTCTCTAACTTAAGAGATCCCCTCATTATACCACAGTGTATCCGTCATCAGGATAGCAAATAGAAGGAAACACACAGCAACTCGCTTTCAGATGTAATTTTTCTCATTAACAATGACGGCTGGCTGTAAAATGACAGGTCTGAGCCCACAGGGGACATTCCTGTCCAGGCTGCTTAATCCTATCGGACCAGCATCCTCTACCATTGCATCGGGCATCATTAAAAGTTAAGAATGATGCTGCTGGGATCTGTGTATGTATTAGCAGTGTTTGCATTTGTGTGAAACGGTCTAATAATTTTGCCTTTGAAAGGTCCACTGCCTGGTGATAAGTTAGGTGGTCATGCAGACTTTTGGGGGCACAAGTTCCATCCTCCTCCACTGCAATTTTAATGTTGCTGATTTTTATTTTAAGCTGTTAATAAGAAATATCAGTTCAGTTCCAACAATGCCGTGTTATCTCAATGCCACTCCAACATAGGGGTGAGAGTGCAGTGAACTCCTAACTGTACAAAACTGTTCTCTGAATGGGGAAGCTATGTTCCTATAATACTTTTCTTGTCCTGTTTTTTCTGGCTGATGACTTTAAGCTTGTGTTAGGATGCCTGACTTGCTGTTTGAAGAGTCAAACACACTGTAACCATGTGCTTTATTACAAGGAAGCAAAAAAATCCTATTTTTTAAAAAAGGGTGTTGGGTAAGACCTAAAACAAAGGTTGGGGGCCAAGTATACTAAGTGAGTGGGGGGAGGGGCCAATAGGCAATGGGGATGGAAAGAAACTTGCCACCTTATTTAGGCACTAAGTAAGTATAAAAGCAAATGCATTGGCAATTAAGTGTGTGTGGATACGGTTTGAATATTCAGGGTTACCCTCAAGATCTTAAGAATAAGTTGACTCTTGTGTGACTTCTCTTAAACCCCAAGTGGTAGGAGTTTAAAGGTGGCTTTTTGTTTTGTATTTTAAAGCATCTAGACACCTAAGGGAAGTGGTAGAAGTCCTTTTATATGAGAGATTTGGCTCTAGACTAGATGGGAACTCTGGAAAAGGCAGGGGAAAGTCCTACGTTTTGTCATATGGGTCACTTCTATGATTATGCATCTTAGATGATTTATATTGCCATTCTTTTAATAGGGAGAAGGAATACATGTCGGGTAGAGAACGGAAGTGTGATGGTGACAGCTCTTTAGAACTTTGAGAGCAATCCTAAGTTAAAGCAAGTGTATGTTTAATGTGGTGAAGGTCTGACTGAATTCCATTTGGAGAGACCTGGTTTGAGCCCCTCTACACCAGTCCTGGTTGATGTGTGGTTTCTGGACTTCTTTCAGTCCTCTTCTTGTCCTGCTATTCTTGTCCCTTTAGCTCTCCTCTTCACCATTCTGATCTGTTGATAGGCTGTTTGCTCTTCCTCCTAGGCACGGGAACTACAGTGCAAGGAGGCGGAGCTGAAACGGCGAGACGCCTTCTGTAAGGAGCAGTTGGCCCGTATTGAGAGGAAGGTAAGGCTATGTTGTCTTTCATTCGCAGTGGCTGAATGCTAATGGGCTCAGACATGGATCCGAGTGGATCAGCAGAGAAGAGAAACAAGAAGCATTGTGCTGAAACCTGGAACTGTCAGTCCCCATTATTTATCTCCCACATCCACCTTATGCAGTTAAATCAAACAGCTCCACAAACAGAACCTTTAAACAACTCACATTTGAAAGATAATTGGTTTTTAATTGGATGATTTTTTAAAAACTAGTTTATAATAATTCAGGTTTTTATTTTTCTCTCTCACCACAGGGTTTAGTTGAAAGCAAAGTTGCCTTGTTTTTATTGCTTTTGTTAAAAATCCATGGCCAAAAAAATAAAAATAATCTCAAATCTTGCTATACATATGAATTAAAGTTGTATTATTTTTCTCGGAGGATCCCAACAGATCAAAGTGTGTTGCTGCAATGCACTGTCTGTTTTGTGCTGGATAAGCCTTTGAAATGAATGTGATTTAAAGAGACACTGTCAGGCATCTTTTAAGCCTGAAATGACCTTTGAAAATCCATTTAGGGATTTCAATCTCTTCTCTAAACGTGGGATTTGCTTCTGTTTAATTGTTTACCATGATGAGTTTTTAAAAATTGACGTAATAAAAATTGGAGCAGCCACACTGTTCCTTATGAACTGAAGTGTTTTTCTCTCCCTGACAAAATGAAATAATGTTAGTAGTAGTATTTATTTTGTAATAAACATAAAGAATAATATTCTACAATGGAAATTAATTAGACCTTGTGACAGAGAGGTTTCACAGCTCTGACTTCTAGTGATGTTGCATGCCTGAGAAAAATGCAATGAGGGAGAAGGTGGATCCCAAAGAGACAGTGGAATTTGTGCATCTGCTTTACTACTAACGTGCAGTGTGATAGTGGCCCATTTTCACTGGAAAATTACATTGTAAAAATGGGAAGACCCTATTAGCATATCTAGTTTCCTTTTCTCTCCCTCTGCTAGTGCATGTTTGTTCTGTACTGTACTTTTTAATGCCATTAATGATGAAACATATATCCAGGAGCAGTTTCATGTTGCACATTGTGGCAACACTTTTATCTGTATAATTAATTTAAAAAACAAACTACTAAAACTACCACTTAATGCTGCAATAAATTCAGGTTTTAATTCAGTTTATGGATAATGGAGATTGAGATTCCACTGCACAAACAATCCACCCGCTATCACTCTAACTATCACAGTCATCCATATGTTCATATGTAAAGGGAATTTTGCAATTTCTTGGCCTCATGCTGTGTCTGTTGTATTTGTTCCCTCCAGATTTGGTTTCCCAAAGTGGAAACTGCTAGGAGTATTTGTGTGTCTGTTCTTTTTACAGACTTGTGGGCTGGAGAGAAGTTGTGTCCAGCCTTGCCCTCCCCTTGAGGCCTTTTTATATTCTGTGGTTCCCTTTGCAATCCTCCTGTATAGGACTAACTTTTTAAATACAAGGTGACTGATGCTTTGGCTACAGGAGTTTCACTTGATTTGAAATCAGATGGAAGACCTTTAGTCCCATTCAAATTGCTGGTGCATAGAGCTTTTCCTTCTTTAGTGAGTAGGTAATAAGGGCAGGCTTTGTTTCCTAGCTCAAAACAGTAGATTGTTTTGACCCTTAAACATGAACATTTTATGGTAACAAAACAGAAGAAAATCTCCAACTGTTAGTCTAGATTGGAGCTGGAGGTGTGGGAGCTAGGTCGGGAGATGAGAGAGATGTACTTGAAATAGTGTAATAAAGCTTAATTGTATTAGTTTTGAAAAAGGTTTTCGATCTTTTCTGTGGATAATTTTATTCTTATAATGGTTGGAAAGATGGAAAACTCAGCACAGAACAATCTTTTTTATTAGCTATTGCTTTTATATAATTCCACTTTCACTTGCTGAACACACACAGACCTTGATGGCTTCTGTAGTCACTGTTTTTTAGACTCTTCCAATTGAACCTTTTTTTTTTAAGAGGTTTGGTGGGAGACGAGTTAGGGGGAGCATCTGAACAGCTGTTGTTTTCCTTCTCCAGTGTTTCAAAATGTCACGGAAGGACATTTGGATTGCCAAAGCTAGATGGTTTGGGGGTGGCTCGTGGGGGGGCGAAGGGGAGGTGATGATTCAATATAGAGCTAAAGAACCCAAAATCATACTTGGAAAGAACAAGCTGTCAGGAATTCCCTGCCTGTACTTTGCTTATCTGAAGCATGGGTTTGGCTTGGTCCCCACTTGCGTGTGGTAACAGAATGCGAAAGCATCAGACTTTTGTATTTATCTATTTTCGAGGGATGTTTTTAACTTCTTTGCTGGCTTCAGGAACAGACCTAGTTCTCCATCTGAGGTTTTCTCACTGAGTAACCAACCATTCACTTCATAGGACATCAGGATAATCACACCACACTGGAGAAGCATATTTCATAGGAATGGCAGAATTGCCATCTGGATCAGACCAGCGCTTTATCTGGTCCAGTGGCCAATTTCAGATGTTTCAACAGGAGAAGTTTACCCCCCCCCCCAAAAAAAAAAAGAAAAGAAAATTACTACCCTATGTTGTGCATAATTATGGAATAACTTGCCCACAGGGGAAGTGTCATCCTGATTGCTGTCAGTTAGAGGTTGACATATGCCCTGAAGCATGAGGGTTTATATCCCTTAAAAAAATTTATACCATTGAATGAGCCTGTGGATATTCCCATTATTCACATAAACGTGTAGTTCATTTTTTGAATCCGACTGAGTTCTTGGCCTCAATGATATATTGTGGCAGTGGATTCCACAGGTTAACCATGCATTCTGCAACATTTCGTTTTATCTGCTTTAAATGTTTCCTTTTAACGTCATTGACTATCCCCTTGCTCTTGTATTATATAATAGGGTTAATGAGTGCGCCCAATTTACCTTCTCTGTGCCATTCATTATCTTTTTATACTTCTGTCAAATCCCCTCTTACGTATCTCTCCATTAAACTAAACAATCTCTACCTTTTCAACCTCTCATCCTATGAAAGTTTTTCCAGGCCTCTGATTTTTGTTGCCTGTCTCTGAAACCTCTCTCCTGCTGTGCTTTAAGATAGGGTGTCAGGGCTGATTCCCCACTCTGGCACTTTGAGTACAGAAGGTGGGGGCCTGCAAGGATTCTAAAAATTAATACGGCCACTCCAGGCTTGTATCAAACTCTCAAGGTTACAGCTTTTCTCTGACCTTGGATGGGTAGATGCTGCCACCACCCAAGTGGAAAAAAAACCCTTTGAGAACCCAGGGAGGCACACTTGGGAATTCCTTCCTGTGGGGTACCCTCAAGCCTTTTCAGCGCCCCCCCCTCCCCCGGAAGAGCTGAGAAAGAAAACAAAGGAAATCAGCTGTTGCCACCAGCTAATTAAACAACATATGCACAAACCTCTTAGGGACACCCAAATCCGATCCTGTTCTTAAAAAAGGTACATTTTATTAAAAACAAAAGAGAGAAAATACATCTGGAACTTAGTCTTTTTGCTAGGTTTAAAAAAAAAAAAAAAAAACAATTACAAGGATTAAGCATCAAGATAGCTTTCCGAGGTCCAGTTTAAAGGTTACAGGCAAAACGAAAGCACCTGGGGTTAGCACAGAGGAGTCCACAAGCCATAAAGAGATAAACCTAATCGTGTCTTCCTAGACATTTCCTGATCTACTTGCATATCTGGCGTTTCAACTGAGTAGTTTCTAGCTTCAGCCCTGTCTCTGCTCTCCGGGAGAGCAACACAGCCTGACAAAGGGTAAGCTTTTTTTTTTTCTCCCCCAATTTTAAAAAGTTCTCACCTTCCCATTGGCTCTTTTGGTCAAGTGCCCACTCCCTACGCTTTACAGGTAAAGCAAGTAGCGCATAGCTACTAACAGGAATTTTATAGCTAACTGACTGGCTGGGTGTCTATAAAAGGGAGCTTCTCCCCACCCTTCATTTATCACAGAGGGTCACCAGAACTGAACTCAGTAGTTCCATGGGATGCAGCACTGAAGATGTTACTTCGCTGAAGACCTTAATTTGAAGGACTAGACTGGGTAAATATATTAATTATCTCTCTAATTTGTAACCTTCAGAGAGGCAGTGATATCTAGTTGTCTGAGCACAGGACTGGAAGCAAGGCAGTTCTGATTTCTAATGGTAGTTTCCTCTCTTTTTGAATGTGGGCACATCGTTTCATCTTTCTGCCTCAGTTTTTGAATCTGTGAAATAATAAGAACTCGTAGGTAGATAATTGCTTCCCTTGGGGTGCTGTGAGGATTAGTGTATTTGCCCAGTGCTTTGAAGCAGTACAGCTACAGAAATGTGAAGAATTTTTTCTTTGGCCTTTATGCTGATTGGGTGAAGTCTCGGGTACATCTAGTTCTTCTTTGAGTGCTTGCTCATATCTATTCCAATTAGGTGTGCTCGCGCCGCGTGCACAGTTCACCAGAAGGTTTTTCCCCTAGCAGCACCCATTGGGTCGGCTCTGGAGCCCCCAGGAGTCGCGCCTTCATGGCGCCACATATAGGGCCTTGATGATCCACTGCCTCTCCAGTTCCTTCTTACTGTCTGTGGCAGTTGTCGGAACGTATGAGTGATCCTCGAGCATATTTTCTGTAAATAGTTAAAGATAGTTTTAAAATTTTTGTTAGTTAGACATCTGGACTTGGGGTACTGGGCAGGGGGGATGTTTTCCTTCCCCATTCCTCTCCCAGGCCCAGGGCATGCCTCAGACCCAGGGATTTAAGCAGTGTGGAGTTTGCCAGAAGCCTATGCCAAAGGGCAACCTGCACTCAGCTTGTGTAAAATGCTTGGGGGAGTGCTATCAAGCAGACAGGTGCAAGATCTTGTAGGAGCTTTCGCCCCCGCATGAAGGAGGCACACAGACTAAAGTTGCTGCTAATGGAAGCAGCTCTTGGCCCCTCAGTCTGAGTCGAGCCCCATGGACGCGGCATTGGCTTCGGTCCGGGAGGTGCTGAGGAAGGACTCTGGGGTCAGAGGCTACCAG